TTACTCGTTGATACATTTGCCATCGGTTGTGCGTATCCGTAATCCGCAGACGCAGCTGCTGATCGGTGCTTTTCCAGGCAAAAGTGTTGATGATTGGAACGATGGTGTGTACTTGATGATAGGACTTGTGTTCGCAACCATCCATGCAAGAAGTAAAGTTGCTCGTGAGTGAACGATAGCTAAGTGGCGGACGTCTCCAATCAGCGAGCGGACCAGAGCTTATCGCGATCGAATGGTTTAGAAATAATTAAGAAAACCAGTAGCTCCGAGTCTGGATGATAGAGCTGCTTTGTTCTCTGAGCCAGGCGTTTCAACTGTGGTGCGATGCGATGCAACCTAATCAGTGCGGCTTTCAAGGTCTGAATCGCAGAGCTTCGGTATAATAATTCCCGAGCATAGTCTGACCATATGACGTCATGATGCGAAATCTTTGATCGGTACATATGGGTGTCGAGGACCAGCAATTCGATGATGATTGGAAGAGCAAGTAGCCGAAAGGCAGATGAGTTCACCGATGCCTGGCATTGGGGCCAGAACTCAGCCAACAAGCATCTGTAGTTAGAGTGTATAGAAAGCTCTGCAGATTAAGTCGGCAATAGGTCTCAGGCGGACAAGGCGAAAAGAGAAAACGCAGGCGACCCACATGAGTCAATCGACAACTGACATTCAAAGCAGGACGCAATCAATAGGCACTCGGATCTAGCATTGGCTCACGAGGCTCTGCAATTCAAATCTTGAAAGCCGCGCTGATGATGTTGCCCAGCCTGTCAGCAAAATGTCTGCACATGAAACGTCCAGCACGGAGAACAAAGCAACCCTCATCCACACCAGGCTACAGGTTTTCTCAATCATTTTTTGACAGGTTCAAGCATGTTGTTCAGCCATTTGGAAATGGCGTGGAACAGTGAATTCACCGTCGAGATAATTTGTTACATAGGCGTTCCTGATCTGCGCACTTTAGGAAAACTCTACATTTGTGGAGTGGGTCTCCACAGGTGTTCGTGCCTGATATTTGTCATCGGAGATAGAATCGCAAATTTCAAGACTTGTAGTTCGCTTCTCAACCAAACTAACAGTGTCGAAGGCAGTATCTGACTTGAACTGTGTGGTGTCCGAAAATATTGTCGCCACTTTATCGCATGCCTAAAAGTTCCACGAGGACACCGGTTATGATGCATTGTATGTCCCACTGCCTATCCAAATGTACCTAGCTGCGGAGACAGTTATGTCGGACGCACTCATCGAAGTTTAGGTCTCAGCGTCAATGAACACATTTTCAAGTGATTACGTAGCCGGATGAGATCGGTGACGACGGAATCGAGTAGACTGAGAAATCCGGCTGCCCCGGAAAACAGAAAGCACTTGCTGGGCACCTGCCACCAGGTCAATCCCGAAGAGTCACTCACCATCATGTGGCGCAATCGGCGGCTCCATATCCTCAGGCCATTGGGAGCCATTGTACTCGATCGAGAACGGCCATTGCTTTGCGTGTAGGAACAGCTGATTGAACCTGGATATAGCGTGATAGCGTGAGGCGCGACAATTGGCCAACCACTGGCTAACTGTTGATCTCAAATAAATAGACCTTGTATATCTGTAATTTTCGCACCATCCTGACTGACTTGACTGCTCGGAATGACTGAGTTATCTGTTTCCTTCTTTTGGTTGCGTTTGCTGGTTGCCCCGCGATTTCATAACATTCGCTTCTGGTTACTTTTTCCTGGGCCCAAGATTGAGACAACTATTTGCTATTACTTTTGTTAAGTTCTCTGAAATGAGCTGCAGAGATATAGCATTGGCCGACAATTTCAGTTTTTAATGTGTAGCCGAGTTTTATTGTGAGATAATTCCATTTTTGAGGGCTATCAGCGATATTAGATGCTGGAAAAGCGGCTTGTTAACAACCTCCTTGATCCGCTACTTGCAGTTGACTGCAAAAGGGAAAGGACGCGTTTTTCACTCAGCCGTTCTTCTACATCAAAATTTTTGTTCTGGTGTTAGGCAACTTATTGGTATCTTGCCTGCATGTTAGATGCATATTCGGATCCTTTCTTCAAGCGATTTCTTGATGGTATTGTTTTTTTCAACTTAGAGCTCGAAACGATCATGGCTGTCAGTCGTTTTGGGCTATGCTTTGCTCCATCAAAATGCAAAGTACTTCTCCAAGATTGGCAGGGACCCAATCCTGCGCTAACGCTTGGTGGTGATCTGCTAGAAGTCGTTCAGGAATTCAAGTACCTGGGCAGCTATATTAGCACCCGTGGGATTGAAGATGAGGTTACGAACCGTATAGCAAAAGCTCGAGGTGCTTTTGCCAATCTCCGCCACCTGTGGCGCAGACGCGACATTACTCTCGCCCTGAAGGGCAGAGTTTACAACGCAGCCGTCCGTTCAACTCTCCTATATGGCTGTGAAACCTGGCCCATCAGGTCGACAGACATGAAGAGACTCGTCACATTCGATCATCGCTGCCTTCGCAGCTTAGCTCATGTCTGGTGGGAACACCGCGTGAGCAATGAGCGTGTTCGACGTCGCGTATTTGGTGCAGGAAGAGCGAGTGAACCGCTCAACACGATTATATCACGCACCAGGCTCCGATGGCTGGGCCACGTCTTGCGCATGCCAGCACACCGACTCCCACGACGTGCATTGTTTGCGCGTTGTGGGTGCGGTTGGAAGAGGAGGAGGGGAGGCCAAGTGATGACTTGGTCGCGAGAAATGAAAACCCTCACTTCGAAGTTGGCGTCGGTTGGTGCATCCCGACTGCCTGACTGGGGTCCTAAGGACGGTGAACACGTTTGGCTGGACACACTTGCTGATATGGCTAGGAGCCGGCCCCAATGGCGTTTGTGTTGTGAGTTCCTTTGTCCATCCCCCTCCTGTTTAGCATCCCCCTCCAATCACGATCTCAATCGTTAGGCATAATATGACTTTCTTTTACGGCAGCCAGCTGTTAGCTCTCCGGAACGATGTCCATCCGTTACTGGGGACTCAGCGGGCGTGCCACTGTTTGTTTGTTTTTTCTTTTCTTGCCTTTTGTATTGCGGCACAATAGCTGAGGTGTTTTCCACCTCCAGCTAACGTGTAATGATGATGATGATGATGATCATGGTTTAATCCGTTCTTTCAGCGTCATCCGAATTGTAAATTCTACCAGATAGGCGACTTACGTACTTTGAGTGTGCGTACGACATAGCTCTCTGTAGCTTTGATGCAGTGGCTGTGTTGCAATGCACGCTTCTGCAGGTGCTTTGCACCTTCAAAATACAAGTCATTGTGCTAGGACTGGACGGATACGCCAGGGGTTTTAGCCATCAGCGAACAGCCTCTGGCTCGGTTCACCTACCTTGGCAGTTGTGTTGCTTCTGGTAGTCACATTACTGAAGAAGTTACTTTACGTTTCTGCAGGGCCAGTGTGGTTTTACTGATGCCCAACTATCTGTGAAGACGGCGGGATATTAGCCGGTGAGTGAGTCGTAGTTTATGTAACGGTGTTACTGCATGGATCAGAGTTGGCCAGTTCGCAGTGAAGACGTTAAACGCTTGTTCTTGTTTGATCATCGGTTCTTACGAAGTATTGCTCACATCTGGTGAGAACACCGGGTGAGCGATACAGTGGTCTGCCAGTTTCCTTTGGCAAGAACCCTTCTAGTGCGTCACGTGAGCTTTTGTCCAAGCCCAACCACTTACTTTGGCTATGTTATATCCTCCGTATGCCCCTTGACCGGCTTCCTCGGCGTGTATTATACGTCGTTGTTGCACCTTCTTGGGTGAAACGTAAAGGTGGTCATTCGATGACGTGACAGAAAGGGTTGAAGGATTTGGCTGAGAGCTTTATTCACACGTGTGTTCACCGGCTTCGTGGATGGGGGTCGCAACATGGTTCACACCGTTGGTTGGATTCTCTACCAGAGATCTCGCCGTCATTCAGTCGGTGATGTTCCTGCGTTCAGTTTTTTTCCATTTGGCTGGCAATTTTCATTGTACTCCGATTGGTCTTACGCACATCTTTTTTGGTTTCCATTTTCTTTTTGTTCGCTTTGCGCTCAACCTCGTTTTCTTTTCATTGTTGTTTCTTGTCAATCTGGCATGTTGAGTCGTGGCAACTGGATCCACCATACTTCCGTGCCCGGATGTTGGTTGTTCAACTAAACGTAACTGATTTGATTGTTGTCGTGACAATCGCATTGTTGCACCTGCTCCGCTGCGTTTCTCCAACCGTTGAATACTTGTTTAACTGAACACTACTGATGCTGATCAATTACCCACTGGCAGATTCACGTAACTTCTTGCTTCAGATGGAGCATCCTCCTTTAGTCACTAGCTTCTGTGACTCACTGTGCAGTGTGAGACCTTCCCCTTGTTGCTTCTGCGGCCTCGGTTGTGGTCATCTGCATGCAACCACAGGCAGTCGCAGTCACGGAAGCCTTAATATAGGGTATTGGTTCGATATTGCCACCTTGCTGTGACCATTTGTTTATGAGACACGTGCTATTATTCCATCACATGATTACCCATTTCCTGCCTTTTTCCATCTTCTTGACATCTAGACGTTCACTTCTTTTTCCCTACTTTGTTCTTTTACTTCTTTTTCGGCTTCCTATGCTGCCACCCGGTAACATTTAATCTTCAACTGCTTCAGATACGGTCTCAGTAACCCAACTGACCTAGGTTCACTTTAAAGTGTGTTGTGGTCCAGATTGAAATTGCGTGTCGCAATCAAATTATACGTGCTTTAAAACGGCTTCTCAAAGTAGTCCTTCACTGTTGTCACAAATGTTACCCGCAGTTGCTCGCTGGTTTAGGAGTGTAGACATTTCGGCTGAAATCCCGAAAGTCCCGAATTCAGTCGCAAGTGTGTTATCTCTGCCTGGTGAGATGCTACTAAGTACAAAGATGGTCCTTGAGTGCAGGGCTGTGAGCTGGCAACACCTGATATTTTTCCTCTAATTCATTTTCGTTATTCTCCATTTATTCTTGTTTATCTTATTTTGTCACAGGGACAAGCTAAAGGACCACCTCAAACATCACGAACGGGCTGCACGAAATTTCGAATGTCAACAGTGTCAGCAGCGATTTGTTCAAAAGTCAGATCTGAATCGGCACATTCGCGGCGTGCATCAAGGCGAGCCTGGTGTGGGGATCAATATGGGAACAAAACGTCGCGCAACAAGTTAGTTTATCATCCTTACATGATTCGTTGTGTGACCTGACGTAGAATTTGACGGGGTACACAGAGTGTAACCGATCTGCTCCAGACTAGCATTGCAGCCCACCTTGACAGTCGCCCTTCCGTCTTTCGGTGTGGTCAAAATCACATTTCCAGCCTAGCTAACCTACACCGATGTGCATCCGAGTTAGGCTTAATGCTTTTTTCACGTCTATAGCTGTCGAACTGTCTCATCACAACCATATCTTGGCATTCTGCCGCCTACATCTCCAATGCTTTAACAGCTCGTTTCGTTTTTTTTGTTTCTAATCGATAACATGAACTCTTTTAACACGTTTTCTGAACTGGAGATTAAAACCTGATCGCGGTGCGTGCTAATATTACTATACTGAGCAGCCGCTCGAGTCATTTTAAACTCCCATAAGGCGGTTGACAGGAAAATACTTCTTTCAGTCAACCCGTCTCCATTCGACAGTAACTTGCATCTCAGCAAAGGCTGTATCTTGGATTATCACCAGTCCTGGTCCAATTGCGTCATCTACTACCTTCCTCGTGAGGGAGAGACTCAGGTTGGATAGAATCATCTGTTCATGCTGGGTACCGAAATGACTTGACTATCATCCGAATAAGTAAAATTTCATCAGAAATCTTATTGATTTGTCATTATCCTATTCGTTAGTTACGGCCATCTGGCGAAATCTCGTTTCCTTGGAACCCACCAGCGCTCCCTACATTCCTATACAAAATTGTGAATATTTTTTGTTCACTAATAATGATCTGCTAACTAGGATTGTGATGGTCCTATAAAATCACCCTCCGTCGTTCTGTTTATTTCGCTCATTTCCATTACACCATAAATTGATTCACATTCTTTTGCAAGTGGATAAGCAAAACTACCGTTCCGGCATGTCATCGTCTGTACCCAAAACAAACCAACTTGCCGGTATTTCCTCTTGCCCACTACAGAGTCTCAATCCCGGATGGTAGAAAAGCAGGCATATTTCCAAGTAGGTTGGCTACATGGATCATCTTTTTAGTTTAATGGCATGAAAGGGAGCCCCGCCACATGTGACGGTGACTGTTTATAATGCATTCATCTCTGGTGGCCATTCACACAAGCCGCCCATCAGCGTCTCAATGCTGCGTAGATTGTTTTAGACTCTAATGAACGTACCCTAACGTAACTGCATCTCAAAATCTTTTGCATATGAAATTGTCGCCAAAGAATTGTAGACATGAGAAGCTTCTGACCTCCCTATTCGAACGTATCTGGGAGGAAGTGAGTGTCTTGGCTGGTTGGAGTGAATATATTATAGCAACAATATACAAAAAGGCGGTCGCACGAACTGTGCTAACCACAGGGATGTTAGCCTAACGCCAGTTGTGACAAATTTCCTGTCCTCGATTCTCGTTTGTCGCCTCACTGTGGAACGGGAATCTCGGATTAGGGAAGAGCAGGCAGCTTTCCGCCCAAGACGTGGCTGTATAGACCATATATTTGCTCTGCGGCAGGTGCTACAGCAGCACCAACCTGAACGCAGACCGATAACGGTTGTGTTCCTCGATTTCAAGAGTGCGTTCGATTCAGTGGCTCGATGCATTCTGTTCGAAATACTTGCGCGAAATGTTGTTCCCTCGAACTATGTGAATATCTCACCTTCTCTATACTCGAACACTACAGGCTGCTTCAGTTTCTACGGTGACCTGTCGATGGTTTTTCGACACCAACTGGCATTCGTCCGGGCTGTCTAATGTCCCCGCTGGAAGACATGGCTCGTAGCAGACACCTTTGGCGCGTCTGTTGCCATCTCCTTATCGAACTGCCTGTTTAACGTGTGTTTGTTGCTGAGTTATCTGCGGGACAATGGCTGATTATGACGCGGGGCAGTGAAAGACGGAATGAACCTGTATCGTCGATGCCGCCATATATTTGCACGATAACCAGCTGTTTGTTGTTAACACTAGGTGTAGGCGCCTTGACCCTGAATGTCTGCTTAGGGCGTTAAGGTTTTCCATCTTATTATTCTTCATTCTATAGGTCATCGTGGCTGTATGGCAGCGAAGCATCAGTTCAAACGACTCATGTACTACTGTTGTTGATGATGATTGACTGAATTCAGTACAAGTATTGCGAAACTATAACTGTTTTTGATTCTGCTGTATTTGTGACGTCAGAAAAGGGTTTCCCTGGTTCTGAAATGCCGTGTTTGCGAGGCCACAGTGTGGGCCATCCTAGCTTTTTGAAAGTATACTTGTTCCTTTCCATCTGAGGATGTGAGGCGTCTTTAAGTCTTTGGTCGTCGTTGTGTGCGATGCATTGCTGATCTTGGATGGCACTAGCTTGTCCGCAATAACAATGTGCTTAGATAAGTGCTAGCCAACGATAATTCGCCTCGTTTGTTATGACAACGGATGGCACTGAATAAGTTTCGTTGGTGTGAATGCCTGGTCACAGCTTTTGCCGGAGGGCCTTGTTTGTTTGCCATATGTAAAGTGTCGCCCACAGAGGGACCATTGGGGACTTGCGCTGCACCGCCCACAGCTCCATCCACGCACCCCATATCCTGTGTAAACCCGAAGGAATAAGACCGGGAGGTATGTGGATGGGAACCACGCATCATCAGCGGAGCCGGCTCACACTCCTTCACAGGAAAACACAAGCACGCTGTATTTGGGGAATCAAGTGCACACGGATTGCATGGAACCACTCTTCTAGCCTAGCACTTCCACAAGGACCGTGCACCCCATCCCCTCCAGCAACGACATGCTGTCTTCTGGAGCCAGTATCGACGAGGTTTTGGGTAATAGACAGGTAGACACCTTGTCGGCATGCACATCAAGCGCAGACACACAGGGGATTTCAAGCAACAGTCAATCACTTGAAACGAAGATATCAAATAGAATAAATCGAATAATGCATGTAGTTACAGTGACATAACTCTTCAATAAATGCACATAAGAAATAAATTGGTTACGAACGAATCCGCGATAGTTACAAGACGTCAGAAAATATATTGTAAGAAAATGCCACAAACGCAAAGTTGTTATCGAAATTAACTACAATTAGCTTCAGCGAGGTGTGCAGGTTTATAGAACATAGTACAAGTAGACATTAATATGAGAAAGGTAAGTATTATGACAAAATTGCACACCTACCACCAGAAATAAAGAGACTTACTATGCAAGCACGCGGTTAGTAAATCGAATGCATCGTACCTATAAACGCTGCGCCGGTTCTGCCTACGTTCTCTGCAGGATGCCGCGTTACTTCGGTGATGGTCTCGGGTGGCCTCGCTCATGGCTCACTAGGCCTGCCTGACTCAGGCACTCGCGACCGCATGTGCTACAGCACCATGCGCTCGATGTCGATGGAGTACAAACTATCGGCGCCTGTCGCTTCCGCAATTGCCGTTTCTTCTCTGCATGCACGAAGGCTTTCTCTTGCACCTCGGAAACCACCTTCGTGATCAGATCGCGCCATGCACGCCGATCAATCGCTTTCGATTCCCATGACCTGCAATCAAGTTTAGAACGTGATGGGCTCACTTTGATCATGTCCTGGTAACGTAACTTCGGTTTCCCCACATGCCGCTTTTCCAAGGTCAGCTGACCATATAATCGCTACTTTGGTATCCTCGTAGAATCGATATGCCACACATAACCGAGCCATCTCGGGTGTCTCAGCAGAAGTATGCAGTCCACTACATGCATTCCAATACGGCGCAATAATTCCGTGTTCTTGACTCTGTCGCACCAACCAATGCGCAGAATCCTTCGCAGACACTGTTGATGGAACCGGTCGAGATATCGCACATCCCGCCGGTACATCGTCCGCGTTTCGCTGCCGTATAAAAGAACAGACAGCACCATGGATTTGTACACCACCAGCTTCGTGCCTACGGTAAACTGATGGTTGTTCCACACTCGGTATTCTGGCTTCCTGAATGCCGCCGCTGCCTTCGAAACGCGGATACGAAGCTCACTGTGTAGCTGCTGCACTTAGCAGAAGCAGGAGGTGGTTTTCAACACTTCAGCACCCATGCTGTTTTGCGGCACTGTTGGTTATTGCACCTCCAGTGAAGGCTGAATGAGACAGACAGTTTTGCTTGTGTTGATGGTGAGCCCGAATTTGGCCGCTGTCGAAGCCAGAGCACTAGTTATATGCTGCAACTCATCTGCGCTGTGTGCAAACAACGCACAGTCATCCACAAACAGCAACATACGGATAGTTGTCCCACAGACTAGGGTTCTTGCACCGAAACGACGGATGTTCAGCAATCCACTATCAATACGGTGCTCCACACAAACACCGTGAACACAAGCGACATCAGAAGCGCAAGGCATCATTGCCTGAAGATAAATATTAAACGGAGCAGGAGCTAAGACACAGCCTTGCTTCGCACCAGAGCTAACTGCAAAGTCATCCCAGGTCTGTCCACTCAGCTGCACCCTCGCCCGCATAACTATACATACATTCAATTAAACTTACAAACTTATTCAACCCCAGCCACAATGCCTCGCGGTTCACCTTATCAAATGCCTTGGTAAAATCAACAAAAAGCATATACAATGGCTGGTGTCGTTCTCTACACTTCTGCAACTGACGAGCCGCAAACACCATATCTATAGTGCTGCGACCCGAACGGAATCCACATTGCTCTTCTGCCACGCTAGGTTCCACAACCTGACTGACGAGGCGGTTTAGCAAGATTCGGGCACTTACGTTGCCCACACAACTCAGCAGCTTCGTGCTACGACAATTCGTGCAACATTGCTTGCTCCCTTTACCCTTGTACAGTGGTAGCACAAGGGCATCCTTCAGCTCAGGAGGCACCTCCTCCTCAATCCGTACAGGTTGCACCAAGTGGTGCAGTGCAGTCACCAACGCCGGCCTGCCGTGTTTCAATACTTCAGGCTGCATCCTGTCGGCACCGGCACACTTGCCGTTTCACAGCTGCGCATGTGCTCTCTGTGTCTCATCCAGTGTCTGGGTGTCCGCCAGA